ATATATATATATATGACTTCCTACATTCACCACAATAAATATAAACAAATTTAGTAAGTCTTCACCCTCTATAATAGTGGTTCCCAACCTTTTCTATGCCCCACACCCCTAGGAAATGTTTCCTTAATGTTCGCATTCCCTACAAAAGTAGTATCACATTTGAAAATGAAGAAGTCTAATTTCTAATATGGGTGAACAAATTGAACTTAAAAAAAATAAGCTTTTCACTCAGTGCCTAAAATTGTCATACCCCCTGGGGGTGCAGGCACCCCAGGTTGGGGATCACTGCTCTATAAGGTTACAAACACATATCTCTTCATCCCATTTCCCATCCCTTATCTATAAGCAAATCAACTTTTCAATCCTGGTGTCAGCAAAAGGTCCATAAAGGGTTGCCAGAACTTTGCAAAAAAACCCCAAAAACTTATTTTAACGTTGATCAAATAAATCAACTTTATATTCCTTCCTTTTAACCATCTTAATCTTTAATTCAGTCAAATATAGTTGTAGGATTTGATTTCTGTTCAATTCTTCTTTATACCATTGCACAGGTTTCTTCAAGGCTTTAACAAGCCTCTTTTGTAATTCCAGTAAGAAAGCATTTTCCAGGTCATTCTTTTGGTTTATCATTTGTATTTCCCTTTTAATTTTTAAAATTTCAGTCATTTTCCTTTATATATCCAATAAAACATCCTTTTCCAAATCATTTGCTTGGCCTCTCATTTGTAGTTCTACTTTTGGCACTTTCTCTGTCTTATCAGATAAAATTTGTTCTATATCTGTCATTCCTTCATTAACATTTTTTAGACATAGTCTATTCATAGAAGCAGACATCATTACTGACAGTGTTGATATTGTACTTACTAATTTATGGCTCCATTCTTCAAAGATCTCCTTTAATATTTCCATTGTTATAATGTTTTGTGTCATTTTGTAAGTCCCAGGATTAACTGACAGCAAGATCAGGCTTGTATTTTTTTTAGAATCTTTAGTCCCCTCTGGTGTCCAATTTCTAAAATCATCACTTATCTTTGTTTTGTTTTGATTAACAACAGCCAGGATAGCCAAAATAAGTCTGTTTCCCACGAGAAGCTGTTTATTTTTTTATAGTTAATTCCAAAATCTTACAATGGTTCCAAATTTATCTGGACCCTTAATCCATTTATAACTTTCTTAGATCAAAATTTATTTAGCTTTTTGCTGTTTATTTCAAATG